TAAGTGGTGTCTCCCACCGCAATGTCCGCCCATGACATCGAGAGGTCACTAAAACCTAAAAACATGTTAGACCCACGGACGCGTCCACTCACCCCGGAAGAAGAGGACAAAGCCACAAAGGGCACGGCTCAGCCCACCTCCGAGTTCACAGCCTTTTTGGCGGAATACGAGGGACACGTCGCACGACGGAGAAGTGGAACGGAGATTGGGTGAAAGACAAAGTGTCGTGGGAAAGGCTTCCACTGTCGGGTCCTCTCTTCTTGCCTTCGTATTATCTTTCTCTCCTTCTCTCTCTCTTTCTTCATCATTACTCTCTCTTCTCATTCCTCTCTTGTCTTCTCTCTCCTTTTAGCTTCTGTTCATTAGCCACGGGAGAGGAACATCATTGGTCGTCATCATCATACTCTAGCAGGAACTGTTCATTTATTATTTAATTCCACCGCATCCTCTCTCTACTTTCGGTTATCTCGAATACATTCGGAAATTATCGGCTTCGACTATCCGGAAACTTCATTTTGGTCAACGAGGGAGTAACACCCCACCAAACCCCTTCCAAGTGACCTAGATCTACATCTACATCTACATCTACATCTTTCTTTCGGTAGTCTTCGGTACTTTCGAAACTTATATCGGTGGATGACTTCCTTAGGATTTGGGTATGGCGGTGCAGCGAGGAAGATTCCCACAAAATATCCAGTCATCTTCCTCCCCGGTGGGGGTACACGACCGCAGGGACTCAAACGCCTCATCCTCCTCTCCTCTCGGCGTCCGTCCAGACTGCCGAATCAATAGAACCTTAGCCCGGCGGAAGAGAAAAGTCTTAGATATCATCACAGCACATTCCATAATCAAGAGTATTGCAATCTTTCGCCCCCTCGTTCTCTCTCGTCCAAGTGAAGCACCGCGCTATTGCGGCCGGCGAGCCTCCCGCTCACCACCATGTTCTTCATTGAAACCGCCTGTCTACGGCTGCCGGCTATTCTCCCAAGGCCCTTGTTGGTCGCGTCGTGCTCTTCTCTTGGTGGCACCGCCGTGGGCACCGTAGCTGTTGCCTCCTGTCCGCAACCCTCCTGGAGGAAGCCGCGGTCTATCGCCATCCGTGGACCGACCTCAGTGCGTAATGGGGTCGCCGAAGCGGCCTCTTGTGAACCAGAAGGGGACGCGAGGATTGCGCCACGGTCGGTGAGGATAGTAGCGGTCGTCCGAGAGGGAACCGTCAGCCCGCTGAAAGTGCCTCCTGGGAGCAGGTTATGCTTCACACGGTAAGTCGACCGATTCCGGCTGAAACTTCCGACTCTTCTGTTCGGTTCTATGATTCTATCTTTTAGTTTTTGCTCAACTTCTTCATTAAACGAGCACCGGAGTCGACATCGCGACGTATCATCCATAAATTTTCCTCTATAGACAACATCCAGAAAGCTACATATTGATTGAGAAAGCGATAAATGGTGAACAAGAAGATCATTTAAATGTCCAACTTAAAGTCTCCCGGAAGATTCAGTATGTTCATCTCATCGTGCCGGATCCCTCTTATCTAGGCCACATACAAAATTATAGGTTCAGGTGATTTTTTAACCCCTCTGCTGGCTGTCAATCCATTGCCAAGCTTCTCAGGCGATGTCGAACTCCAACCAAGAAAACCCTTCCGTCAGTTTCACTCCAAGTGCTTATGAAGGCGACAGAACGTGGATCGAGTCATCGAGTCACTGTTTCTAAGCACAATATAATCACCCCAATGTTGAACAATTCCAGCTTCCCCAGAACGTCTGGCCAAAGGCCGACTGGTGCAATCAAAGCTTTATTTTTGCTAGTGCAATCAAAGCTGTATACCCCATCTTCTTTTTATTATTATAATCTTGGCGCAGAAAACCAGCAGCATGTATGGATGGCTACATGCTTTCTTTCCTTTTCGAAACTGTTTTGTCCCTCAGGTAGAGTTCTTAACCCCCATTCCCTCTCCTCCCATTCGTGTTACAGGCTGAAAGGTTGAGGTGGGCTGACGAAAGCTGTGAAATGCATGTGTATACCGATGCGGATCGGGATGACCTGAGAGGGGAACTAGCCCGCGCAGACATACTGTTGATGATCTCTGTTTCTAACCAGGAAGCCATTGACTGGGTTCGAGAGAACAGCGCGCACATACCCAACGTCATCTCCTTCGAATCAGCATCTTCATCTCTAAAAAACAAGCTCGGTGGTTCATTCGTCTCCACTGATCAGAAGAGGAGTCTGGCGCAGGCATTGTTCGGTACTCTGAAAGGGGAGGGCAGAGACGAATCGCCGGAACTTGTTAAAACCTTGTCCGATGCGTGGGGGCGCCATAATTCGGATGATATCAGATTCTGCATCCTGGTGATAATCAACGCCTACATAAGACCGGTGTCCTCACTAAAGAATCTGAGAGCCAAGGGATTCTCCACGCTCAACTGCATGATCAGGAACTGCGGATCGGAGGTGCTCAACTGCTTGCTGGACCCCAAGTGCAGGAAGACCCTTCAGTGCATCAATGGTTGCTCTCCCACGGACCAGGTATGTAGTTACCGTTGCATTGCCTCTTACGAGAGTCCGAACTTGCAAGCTTTCACTCTGTGCGTGCTTCAGAAGCACAATTGCCTCGGATTAGATAGCGACATCCCGGAGAGGCCTTTTGTGCCTCTGACGGAGAGGTTCAGGGGGGAAGCCTCTTCTTACCCATGAGACCGCAGACGATCTTCTTGTGGGATGGCTTGGGGAGCTTCAGTGGAGCTGGCGGGTCGTCGTCGGCCAGAACCCCGCATACGATCAGTTTCCCTGTCAGTATCAGCTCTTCTACAGGGAGAAAGCAAAGGGGTCTTTCTGGTACGAACCAGTCTTCCGGGTGAAGACCCTGGAAGGGGAGATGGTGTGGAGGAGGAGGTACAGCGTGCGGAGATCTGAGGATCCAGGTACCTTCCATTTATCCGTCCAGGAGAACGGCGTCATTTTGAAGTAATAGGCCACGTGCATTTAGGAAACCTCTCTCTCTCTCTCTCTCTCTCTCTCTCTCTCTCTCTCTTATTATCTATCTATCTATCTATTGGGTAAACCTTTCTAACAAAATAAATATTGGCCACGTGCATTTAGGAAAAATTACAAACATGAACAAACTTTTAATCTGAATTACAATGTCAACCTTGGAAATAAAGATTAGAAACCTTAGAAACTTTTCAACCTTAGACACCCTTATAGACACTATCATAATTGAATATACTAAAAACTCTTCCAATCTTGGTAGTGTTATTGCTCTTGGGATACACGTAATGGGGAAAAGCTCTTGGAATACATGTGCATCCTCTAGCCTTAAAAAAAATTGCTCAGCTTCTTAAGTATAAAGTGTAGTTGCTCCCACCTATGTCTTCTTTGACAGATTTGTGGTCCCCATTTTGTAAGTTATTTCCAGGTGAAACATGACTTTAAGGAACTTGAGTTGTGTTGCGATCAAAGGAGGGAGACAAGTGACATAAGGTTCACTTTTGGAAATGACATCCCTCTCCACAATGTGTAGTGTATCCTTAAGACTATGAGATATCTAGTTATAGTGTCATACTGAGCAAAGTGGGCTATAAGCTTGTCCTTTGAATCCAACAAGGTTCTAATCACCAAATTTGGAAACTTTGTCAAAAAGTATATGTTTTTGGTTTTTTATTTAACTTTAAAAGTATATGGCTCCTAATGTTCTATCCAAAATGGTCTCATTGATGAAAAACTACAACACCTTGCAATCTCAAATCAAATAGAGTGGTTGAAAGAAAAAACTAGAATAATTATTTTTTTAATTAAGGCATATTCTGGCTTAAACTTAAAAATTATTAGGATAATCACCTTAAATGCAAATTATATTCTTGACATAATTACATTCAGAAAATTATATACAACTCCACATTAGGTCTGACATAAATAAGTCAAAAACCATTTTAAAGTTTGGTACACATTAACATATGTAAAAGCAAAAGACAAAACATGGACAAGAAATCATGGAAGCTATTTTTATTGTCTAGGCAAAGAATAGTGGTGTCAATTGTTTTCTTGTAATTGCATGTATATTTTCAAAGTAAGAAAACTCCATAATAGATGCTCATCATTTTGATGCTATTTATTTTGAAGATATATTTCTATTGAAAGTGAAAAAAAACTGCATTTATTAATGAAAGGCCTTCAAATTTACAACAATTAGTGGATGATCATATTATAAAATAATGATGTGAACGTAGTAACACCCCTTGAACTAGGAATTAAGAGACCTAACATTAAAAATATTATGAGGTTGCTTTGTCTACTTTATTGTTAAAGATGGTCTAAAAACTTGCAAGAGATTCTGAGTTCTATCGATCATGATTTTTGGCAGGAAGCTATTAAGAAAGGACTTGAATCTATAATGAACTGCCATACCTAGGTTCAAACCTTTTTACCACCACTTTGATTTATATTGAGCAAAATCGATCCTTATAGCCGACGGAAAGATACGTCCAACTCAGATCTCTCTCATGCAGCGCGGGATGATTTATCAATTTGGGATAGCCCTATCGTAGAGATAGAGCACCGAAATATCTGGTGCAGCTAGAGAGCGCGAAGTATACATTTATGCGGTCAACGCCCATGTCAACGTCTCAAGCTCTGACTCGCCCTCTAATTTCATCTTTATTTTTTTGTCTTGGATGGCGAGAAACCCATGACTCCAATATTGCCACGGCCGGACTGCCAGCTCTACGCGTAGAACTCTGTGCCGACTCGTCGGCGCCGGAGAGGGAGGCTTCCCTCCCTCCCTAGAGTTCTCATCTACCGGCCCAGACCGTGATTGCAGGCCCATTTAGATCCACAGTCAACCGCGGGGACGGTCGGTGGAGGGGATAACAGGGCTTACAGCAGAGTGCCTTCCCTCCGCCGCCCGCATCAGTCCCTTGGTTTTTTCTCGCCCAAGTGAAGCGCCAGAGCCTTGTCGCCAGCGAGCATTTCGGTCGCCAGCGAGCATTTCGGTCGCCACCATGTTCTCTACGGAGACGTCCTGTCTCCGGCTGCCGGCGATTCTCCCAAGGCCCTCGTTGGTCGCGCCGCACGCTTCTCCTGATGGCACCACCGTGGGCACCGTAGCTGTTGCCTCCGGGCCGCCGCCCTCCTGGGGGAAGCCGCGGCTTATTGCCATCCGTAGGCCGAGCTCCGTGCGTAGTGGGATCGCCGAAGCGGTCTCTTGTGAACCAGAGGGGGACGCGGGGAGCGCACCACGGTTGGTGAGGATAGTAGCGGTCGTCGGAGAGGGAACCGTCAGCCCGCTCAAAGGTGCCTCATGGGAGCAGGTTATGCTTCACACGGTAAATGGGCCGATTCCGGATGAAACTTCCGACTCTTCTGTCGGTTCTATGATTTTATCTTTTATTTTTTGCTAAAATTCATCATTATACGAACACCAGAGTCGACATCAGCAGTATCATCCATAAATTTTCCTTGATATACAACATCCAGAAAGTTACGTATTAATTTAGGCATGGACAGATGCTGAAAAGAAGAAGATCTTCTAATGTCCAGCTGCTATTCTCCCGGAAGATTCAGTAGATGCTTCTCATCGGAACGGATCCTTCTTATCTAGGTCAAATACACAATTATAGGTTCGAGGTCCGGTGATTTTAGATCGCCACCGCTGGCTATCAGTCCATTACCGAGCTTCTCAGGCGGTATCGTGCTCCAAACAAGATGACCCATCAATCAGTTCCACTTGAGCTGCTTATGAAGGTGCCAGAAATTGGACCCCGTCATTGGGGGGGAGGGGACGGGCGAAGAGTTGGAATCCGACGTGGGTCATTTTTTCTAAGCACAATATAATCACCCAAACGTTGAATAATCCCAACTTCCCCAGAACGATGCGCCAAGACTGTTTGCTGCAATCAGAGCTTTCCTTTTGATAATTTCTTGAGAAGAATGAAAGAAAAACGTTCGTTTTCACCATCGCTTTCTTAGTATTATCTTGGCGCAGAAAACCAGCAGCATGTATGGATGGCTACATGCTTTATTTCCTTTTCGAAACTGTTTTGTTCCTCAGGTAGAGTTCTTAACCCCCATTCCCTCTCCTCCCATTCGTGTTACAGGCTGAAAGGTTGAGGTGGGCTGACGAAAGCTGTGAAATGCTTGTGTATACCGATGCGGATCGGGATGACCTGAGAGGGGAACTAGCCCGCGCAGACATACTGTTGATGATCTCTGTTTCTAACCAGGAAGCCATTGACTGGGTTCGAGCGAACAGCGCGCACATACCCAACGTCATCTCCTTCGAATCAGCGTCTCCATCTCTGAAAAACAAGCTCGGCGGATCGTTTGTCTCCATGGATGGAAAGGCGAGTCTGGCGCAGGCATTGTTCGGTACTCTGAAAGGGGAGCGCAGAGACGAATCGCCCGAAGTTGTTAAAACCTTGTCCGATGCGTGGGGGCGCCATAATTCGGATGATATCAGATTCTGCATCCTGGTGATAATCAACGCCTACATAAGACCGGTGTCCTCACTAAAGAATCTGAGAGCCAAGGGCTTCTCCACGCTCAATTGCATGATCAAGAACTGCGGATCGGAAGTGCTCAACTGCTTGCTGGATCCCAAGTGCAGGAAGGCACTTCAGTGCCTCAATGGTTGCTCTCCCACGGACCAGGTCTGCAATTACCGTTGCATTGCCTCCTATGAGAGTCCGAATTTGGAAGCTTTCTCTCTGTGCGTGCTTCAGAAGCACAATTGCCTCGGATTAGATAGCGACATCCCGGAGAGGCCTTTTGTGCCTCCGATGGAGCGGTTCAGGGGAGAGCCTCTTACCCATGAAACCGCGGAGGACCTGTTTGTGGGATGGCTTGGGGAGCTTCAGTGGAGCTGGCGGGTCGTCGCCGGCCAGAACCCCGCGTACGATCAGTTTCCCTGTCAGTATCAGCTCTTCTACAGGGGGAAAGCAAAGGGGTCTTTCTGGTACGAACCAGTCTTCCGGGTGAAGACCCTGGAAGGGGAGATGGTGTGGAGGAGGAGGAGATACAGGGTGCGCAGAGCTGAGGATCCGGGTACCTTCCATTTATCCGTCCTGGACAACGGCGTCATCTCGAAGGAGTTCTGGACAGTGGTTGACGTCTCCGATGACCTCAGCTGGGGATTATTTCATTACAGGGGTGCGGCGGCGGCGGCCGGCCAGTCGTACGCCGGAGCTGTGCTTGTGAGCCCCGACGGCAGGTACCCACCTGGCATGGGAGGCAGCCGCCTCGCTTCGGCCCTGGACAAGTGCCGCATAAAGAACTGGGAACTCTATGAAGTTGACAATGACGACTGTGAGTCCGCGGATGCCCCTCTGTTGATTCCTGAAGGCTCGAGCTTTCACCGGAACATTAAGGTGAGAGACGAGACTTGGGCTTCTACGTAGGGAGGGGAAAATCTCTTTATATTTTGCTCTGTTTTCTTTTATCCCAAAAGTCAATCCCGTTCGTTGTATAGTCTCGGCATTGGCCACCCATCCCCCCTTAACGTTCACGGCAGGGAAAGGGTGCAATGTAAAAAGTTGCAGGTTTGAGGAACTCCAAGGGCTTCCCCCTCAGAGGCGAAATGAAAGAAGCACAGCGAAACCCTGTCAACATCCAAATCTTTAGAAGGCAGCAATGAAAAAATTGAAGCACCTTTGCAGGGCCTTAAAATGAGGTATTATTAATTCATTTTCGTCCACTTCCCTGTGAAAAGGGGATGGTGCTTGAAGGATGCGTGCGACGATGGGAGACCTCATGACGAAGGTCGCCGAGATCAGTTTCGAGATGATCCAGCCGAGTATCATTTGGTTTAGGGCCCATGTTGCTCTGATACCAATTTGATAGGACCCCGAGGACTTGATATGCCGAGGAATAACGATAACCCCTTATGGAAGATCGAGACAATACTCCAATTTGCGAGCAAGGCTAAGACCGTGGTCGTATGTTTTTCCTTAAGAACGTGGTCGTGTCTTTATGATCGGTCTAACGGCCATTCTGAAGTGGTGGTGTCTCCCAATGCACTGCCCGGCCGTGACACGGAGAGGTCAGTTAAACCCCTCCACGAGCCGTTCACCTCTCATCAATCCTAAGACTAATCAATGGAGATGATTGGCTGAGATTTTGACCTTTCTTTTCAGTAGTCTTCGGTTGTTTCGAAACTTATATCGATGGATGAGTTCCCTTAGGATTTGGGCATGGCGGTGGAGTGAGGAGGTTCCCATTAAATCTCCGGTCACCTTCCCGGCTGGTGGGGGGGGGGGTACACGACCTCAGGGAATAAGGCATTGATCGATGCGACACGTAGCGAAGACCTTGGCGCCCCTGGTGTGGCGAAGGCCTCAAACGCGTCTTCCTCTTCTCCTCTCAGACTCCGTCCAGACCGCCGAATCAATAGAACTTTTTTGCCCCGAGGAAGAGACGAGTCTTAAATATTCTTCCTCGTCTACCCGCCTTCTACGGGCATCTCGAAACTGTACCTTTCCTATATGCACAGCACATTCCACAATCAAGAGTATAGCAATCTTTCGCCCCCTGTTTTTTCTCGTCCGAGTGAAGCACCGGGCTATTGCGGCCGGCGAGCAACCCGGTCGCCACCATGTTCTTCATTGAAGCCGCCCATCTACGGTTACGGGTGATTCTCCCAAGGCCCTTGTTGGTCGCCTCGCGCTCTTCTCTCGGTGGCACCGCCGTGGGAACCGTAGCTGTTGCCTCCTGGCCCCCATCCTCCAGGAGGAAGCCGTGGTCTATTCCCATCCTTGGGCCCATATCTGTGCGTAATGTGGTCACCGAAGCGGCCTCTTGTGAACCAGAAGGGGACGCAGGGATCGCGCCACGGCCGGTGAGGATAGTAGCGGTCGTCGGAGACGGGACCGTCAGCCCGCTCAAAGGTGCCTCCTGGGAGCAGGCTATGCTTCACACAGTAAGTGGACCGATTCCGGATGAAACTTCCGACTCTTCTATTCAGTTCTATGATTTTATGTCTTAATTTTGCCATTATTCTTCATTATACGAGCACCAGAGCCGACATCACGGCGTATCATCCACTAATTTTCCTTAATATCCAACATCCAGAAAGCTAAATATTGATCTAGGAAGGGATAAATTGCGAACAAGAAGATCATTTAAATATCCAACTGAAATTCTCCCGGAAGATTCAGTACCTTCTTCTCATCGTGCCGGATCCCTTTTATCTTAGAGCAAATACGAAATCATAGGTCGAGGACCGGTGATTTTTGAACGTCACCGCTGGCTATCAGTCCATTGCCAAGCTTCTCAGGCGGCGTCGAGCTCCAAGCAAGAAGACCCTTCTGCCAGTTTCACTCTAGGTGCTTACGAAGGTGACATGAATTGGATCGAGTCACTGCGGGCGACAGGGCGGGCGAAGAGGTGGAATCTGATAGGGTCTTTGCTTCTAATCACAATATAATCACCCCAATGTTGTATAATCCAACTTCTCCAGAACGACTGGCCAAAAGACTGATTGGTGCAAACAAAACTTTCCTTTTGATAATTTCTTGGAAATAATAAAAAATACAATTTTATACCCCATTTGTTTTTTAACATTATCTTTGCGCAGAAAACCAGCAACATGTATGGATGGCTACATGCTTTCTTTCCTTTTCGAAACTGTTTTGTTCCTCAGGTAGAGTTCTTAACCCCCATTCCCTCTCTTCCCATTCGTGTTACAGGCTGAAAGGTTGAGGTGGGCTGACGAAAGCTGTGAAATGCTTGTGTATACCGATGCGGATCGGGATGACCTGAGAGGGGAACTAGCCCGCGCAGACATACTGTTGATGATCTCTGTTTCTAACCAGGAAGCCATTGACTGGGTTCGAGCGAACAGCGCGCACATACCCAACGTCATCTCCTTCGAATCAGCGTCTCCATCTCTGAAAAACAAGCTCGGCGGATCGTTTGTCTCCATGGATGGAAAGGCGAGTCTGGCGCAGGCATTGTTCGGTACTCTGAAAGGGGAGCGCAGAGACGAATCGCCCGAAGTTTCTTAAAACCTTGTCCGATGCGTGGGGGCGCCATAATTCGGATGATATCAGATTCTGCATCCTGGTGATAATCAACGCCTACATAAGACCGGTGTCCTCACTAAAGAATCTGAGAGCCAAGGGCTTCTCCACGCTCAATTGCATGATCAAGAACTGCGGATCGGAAGTGCTCAACTGCTTGCTGGATCCCAAGTGCAGGAAGGCCCTTCAGTGCCTCAATGGTTGCTCTCCCACGGACCAGGTCTGCAATTACCGTTGCATTGCCTCCTATGAGAGTCCGAATTTGGAAGCTTTCTCTCTGTGCGTGCTTCAGAAGCACACTTGCCTCGGATTAGATAGCGACATCCCGGAAAGGCCTTTCGTGCCTCCGATGGAGAGGTTCAGGGGAGAGCCTCTTACCCATGAAACCGCGGAGGACCTGTTTGTGGGATGGCTTGGGGAGCTTCAGTGGAGCTGGCGGGTCGTCGCCGGCCAGAACCCCGCGTACGATCAGTTTCCCTGTCAGTATCAGCTCTTCTACAGGGGGAAAGCAAAGGGTTCTTTCTGGTACGAACCAGTCTTCCGGGTGAAAACCCTGGAAGGGGAAATGGTGTGGAGGAGGAGGAGATACAGCGTGCGGAGATCCGAGGATCCAGGTACCTTCCATTTATCCATCCAGGAGAACGGCGTCATTTTGAAGGAGTTTTGGACAGTGGTGGACGTCTCCGATGACCTCAAGTGGGGCTTGTTTCATTACAGGGGTGCGGCGGCGGCGGCCGGTCAGTCGTATGCCGGAGCTGTGCTTGTGAGCCCCGATGGCAGGTACCCACCTGGCATGGGAGGCAGCCGCCTCGCTTCGGCCCTGGACAAGTGCCGCATAAAAAACTGGGAACTCTATGAAGTTGACAGTGACGACTGTGAATCCGCCGATGCTCCTCTGTCTATCCCAGAAGGCTCGAGCTTCCACCGAAACATTGACGTAAGAGACGAGACATGGGCTTCCCCGTAGTGAGGAGATGATCTGTTTATATTTTGCTCTGTTTTCTGTTATCCCAAAAGTCAATCCCGATCGTTGTACCGTGTCGGCGTTGACCCCTCCACCCCTTCCAGGACATCGGCAGGGACAGGGCGTAATGTAAAAAGGTATAGTTTTTAGGAACTCGAGGGGCTTCCCTCTCTGGGACCAAATTGTTGTATTCTGTGGGAAGAAAAATGGACGGGGTATCCTCAATTAGTCCCACATCGGACATTGTTACACTGGGACCCCCCCCCCCCCCGGTCTATAAGTAATGTCCCCACACTATGCTATGAAAAAAGGATGTTACTTAAAGAAGGATGTGTATAGTTGACAGAGATGAATTTCCAAGTCTGTTGATAGGTGAGCTTGATATCGTTGCCTTCTTGTCAAAGGTGGAACTAAATTAGAGTACAACCAGATCCAAGTTAAAGATCCGGATGCTCAGGAGGCTTCGCGGCTAAGACGAGCGGAGGGAAGGTGGAGAAGGGTCTTGTCCCCGTCCTCTCTCGTGCCGCCAAACAGGCCGCCGTGCTCCTCCGTTTCACCTTCGACACCACCTGGTCTTTGGGGTCGACCCCGGCTGCATGTAACGCTATGGACGACTCTGAAGAGGTCCCGTTCTCCCGGCACATTGTGCCGCAGAGCTGGTGGAAGCTGCTGGGGGGGAATGCCGGTGGGGCAAGAGAGGAGGATGGCGCTGGCGTGGGAAACCGTCGACAACTTCATAGCCGGCCAGATCTCAGAAAGGATGAAGGAGATGGCGAAGGTGAGATGAGTGTACGGAGGAGGAACTGACGTTCAACCCGGTCTCGGGGATTACACCGTGGGTTCCAAGAAATTTCCACCAGACACGAAGCACAACTTGATGCTGGCCGGAAGGGAAACCCCCTGCATGGTTCTTCTGGATGGTCTCCCGGCGTCCCGAGTCGGAGCGGAAGATCCTCGACGATCTGAAGCCACTGATGGTGGGTTTTCCAGAGTCCCATTATCCCCGTTTGAATCCCTGCGACAGTTCCCAGCGGCCACAAGGATACTGCTTCACAAAATATCAATATTTAAGGCCGGTATATTGTGATACTGGTTTGTTATAAAATAACATGAATTTAATCTCTTGAGATAGCAATGTTAAAACAAACACAATATATATGATATCTAGAAAAAAAAAATAGATATTCAAGAAGACTGACACACATATTTAATATGAGAACAAAGATGTTACTATACCTTCTCACGACAATCAAAGTTCCACTGTATATCAAGAAAATAAAACAGAATTGGAAGATAATAAATTTACAACCAAAGCCACCAAAGAGAGGAGACACAAAATCCTTAATTTCTGGCGCCGAAGGAAAAGAGTTTTCCGTTTTATTATATCTATCCGAGACCCCTTTTTTCGATATGTTTGGGATCGATTTCGTACCTGAAACCGGTCCCTAATATAAAATAATAGAGAAACTAGATACGTCGTGCGGACTTCTCCCGATGAGTCGGCCAAGTCAACAGATGCCAAGTTCACCCGGGCGGACTTCTCTCAACGAAGGCCATGGAATGTTCCTATCGTTTCTTGGTAGGAAGGATGGGGATACTGTGAGAGTTCAATTCTTTCGTAACCATGCCTTGATTCTCTTGAGAGAGAGAGAGAGAGAGAGAGAGAGAGAGAGAGAGAGAGAGAGAGAGAGAGACTCCGAAGAGACCGAAGATCAAGTTCCCCCGCCAGCACCTGCTTTTTTCAGTGAGAAATAACGAGGGTCCTCTGGTACGAACCCAGACGAGAACCGAGGATCCAGCACCTTCCATCTCTCAACTCGACACGGGCGTTGACCCAGGTTTCTGGACGCTGATCAACGTGTGCGATGACCTAAGCTGGGCTTGTTTCATCAGAGGGTTGCGGCGGCTAGCCAGTCGCGTGGCGGCGCTGTGTTTATGAGCCCCGGTCGGTGGCCGGCCCGCCCACCTGGCACGGTCGGCGGCCGCCCCGCTTCCGCCCTGTACAGGTGCTGCCCCAGGAACTGGGAGCTCTACGACGGTCGTGGGCGGATCTCCCCCTACCCCCCCCCCCCTAAAGGCTTCCCCGAAGGAAAAGCTTTTGACCGTAGTGACACCCAAGAGATAGCTTTCTTCGCGGGGGAGTCAAACTAGATCGTTGAATAGTCGGCAGCCGTGGCACCGAAGCGACGGCCGGCTCAGGACCTCCATGTGGCCGCGGTGTGGTGTCCTGAGGGTTGGGTGTTCCGTATCGGTTCGCTTTCGTTGTGATGCCGCCTCTACAGACCAGTCGCTTTGCTTCGTCGATCCCTCGTAGCGGGTGATCTGATCCTTAAACGTGGCAGAATACCATTGGTTTTGAAATTATAAATGGCGGGAGATAAGCGAAGATCTCTCGACATGCGCGCCAAGGCTTGGAGAACGGGAGACAGAAGAGGGACGGTGCTGCGGCCGGCAGTGAGGAGCGTTGCTTCCTCACACTCCCGGCGATCGATCGAACTCTTCCCGGTAGGAAGACGGAGCAGGTTCGCTGCGCATACTCGGTGTCACAGCTCGTGTTCTATCCCCGTGGTACCAGTCTTTGTTCGGATATTGCTTTTCAGGGATCTGCCGCGACTCTGTCGGATGTGTGCTGTATAATTGGGACTTCTGCTAACTGTGGATTCGACAACAACCGGACGCTGGTTGCTCTCTCTGGATACTCTCTCGATACCGGAGGTACGATTCCTCGATCTCTTTCTTCTGGCCTCTATTTCTCAATTTTACGGCCAGAAATTCCATCTAGCTCGATGCCAAAGAGATGTGAGGTTTCGGTTCCTTTTTTGGGAGCTCAATTCCTCGTTCTCGATACTCTCCATCTTTTCACCGGAGATAGAGGAAGAGAGCTGGAGACAGATAATTCTCTCTCAGCACGACAGAAAAACGGTGGGTTCCGAGAACTCCGTTTTCTTCGCCTTCAACACCTCCTCCTTGGTCCGCATGATCTCACCTGCCTCACATGGCATGCCTGATCTACATATTTAAATAATCGCCGGAGTCCGGGTCTAAGATAGACTTTGTATTAAAAGCAATTGGCGCGACGTGTTGTAGGATTTGCCCTGACTGAATGAAGTGTACAAGTCAAATCAGTCGATATATAATAAACCTCGTGATCGTCCATCAGAAGATGTAACCCCTGCTGCCGTGGCTTTCCTCAGTGTTTGTTTCCCTTTTTCAATCGCCTCGCCCAAGGAGATGAGAGAGAACGCGATCGTGCCTTTACGATCGGTTTGACGGCCACTCTGAAGTGGTGTCTCCAGCCTCCCGCACTGCCCGGCCGTGACATAGAGCAGCCGGTGAAACCTCTTCCGACGGTCGTTCACCTCTCAGCAATCCTGAGACTACTCGGTGAACACGACTGGCTAGAAGAGGTCTAGGTCAGCTTTTTAACTTCTTTGGGTGGTTTTGAAACTCATATCCGGTGATGACTTCCCTTAGGATTCAGGCATGGCGGTGGAGTGAGGATGGTTCTCATCTGATGTATACGAGCGCCGGGAGTTCGGCATTGATCGACCTTGCTATCTGTGGGGTAGCCCCTCAAACGCATCTTCCTCTTCTCCTCTCTGGGTCTGTCCAAACTGCCGAATCAATAGAACCAAGAGAACCCTGGCCGGGAGAAAGAGACTGAATCACATTTATTCTCATTCGTCCTCCGCCCTCCCCCGGGCATCTGGGAACAGTACTTTTTCTGCCAGCACAGCACCTTCCACAAGTATAGCAATCTTTGGTCGACTATAGAGGCACGAAAACTGATGTGGCTGATTCGGCGAATCCATGGGGATTAGGCTTCCTGGTTGGGCGTCATCGTCTAGGATGCGTCTCCATTGCCCACCGTTTTATCAGATTTGTCTTCTAAGTGAAAGTCAAGGAGTAGGCGTTAGGTCTACGGGCATTTCCCTTCCCACCCCATCAATTGCTGTCCCACCCTGTTGAAAAATCTGATCCCTTGGGTCCTCTGATAGGGATACGGGGTAGATGGCTTCTCGAGGCCGGTCGACAGTTTCTTGTTCTTTCTCTTGGGTCCTCTTCTCGGTTGCTGTTCGAGCGCTACTGTGGGCCCCCTTTGTCGGCCAGGTTTGTCAGGTTGGTGGTGAGAGTGTATTGGCGAGTCGGACCCTCCGAGATGCCCCGTCAGCACGAGCCACGGCGCAGTAGCCAGCCCATTTGAGACGGGGCTCGCCATCTGCGCGCGATGCCGGAGTTTCGAGAAGGGTGGCGCCACCTCCCTCTCTCTCTCTCTCTCTCTCTCTCTCTCTCTCTCTCCCTCTCCCTCTCCTCTCCGGTTCTCGAAGCGGGTTGTTTATTCTCCAAGTAGCAACGTTCCAGTAACGTGTATACTTTTGGTGGGGAGTTTTCTTTTCAGGTCAACCACAGTGCCGTGGTACAAGCGAGATGAAGCCAAGATCGAAGAACAGAGGAGGCGAGGTAATGAAGTCGTCTGAGTTTTCGATCAGGATTCGAAGCAAAGCTTCCACTGGCCGTCCTTCCGTCATTCTATTTTCTTATTATCTGTTGCTCTGGCTGTACCTGCCGGTTATAGGTCTTCTGGCCCAAGATTGTCCTACGGAAGTGGCTGAACAGGAGTAACCGAGACTCCGACTTTAGCGCCGATGAAAGCGACGCTGACAGCCAGCTCGACTACGAAGGTACTCGGGATAGGAGCTGGGAGAGATTTATCGGAAGACAGTGAAGAATCATGGGTTCCGAACCCTTCTGAGTTTTTTGTCTTCTGGGTCCGGTGCTAGACGATATAAGCCTTTTGTTTCCATCTGTTGTTGTTCCCAGAGATGTGCGGGTGGGAGCGTGCATTGCATAACGAAGAGACCGGGTTCGTCAGGCAACCGACGGGGATAAACGGTATCATCTCTTTCGATTGTTGAATTGTCTTCGAATTGGTTCAACTGGTTTCTTCTGTTTTAGCAACGCCCTCAGCGTCATTCCGAGGGATGAGAGTCGCTCACTTGTTCCTTAAATCTATTACCGCGAGGTCGAAAGTTGGGATCCGAGTTGGGTAAAAATTGTTTTTTTTTTAATTTTTTTCTGAGCAGACATACGTGACAGTACGCATTTTTCTACTTTTAATCGTCTGCTGGGTTCTATCCGTAGGCAAGGCAGATGATAGTCGCTTATACCTGACATATGTAGTGCTTCTTTGCAATGTCATTTTGAGGGGGAATTTGGCCGAGGCTTCAAGGAGGGAATCACAAATGGCTTGGGCGTCTAACTACGATTTTTTTTTATGTTTTAGCTATAATCAAATTAGTACTACCATGAACCGACCAGGGCAAGGATTCCATCTTTTGTGAATTTTCGGAAGTGTAATTCAGAGCCTCCCGATGACCTCTAAACAACGTAGAAAATTGTGGATTGGCAGATTGCTTGAATAATGATTCATAAAAAGAGATAACCATGCTCAAAATCACGAATGCCCCCAGCAGTGGTTGAGAGCCACGAATCATGATTACTCTAAGTCCTACAACAAAATTGATGTCAACCCTATGATACTTTCCTAAACTGATCTGTTTGCTATAACCATGTCCGGGATATCAGAATATAGCTTAACTCGAATGTTCTTACGAGTATGATTTACTGTTCCATTTTTCCTTCTCTTGTACGATATATGCTAATCTGTGGCTCTAATATGCAGAAAATGTTCCTACATTACGGAGGCGAAAATCAGAGACTCTTCGTGCTCAGTATATAAATACCAAAGAACTAAGGCTAGTCCATTAGTCTGCTAATACTTAAAAGAGTTTTGATTCATTTTAATCTTCAATACTTGATTCTTCTCTCATCTTTTGATATTCATCGCCAGCCTTTATGCCCTACCGATGACTTTCTTGAACGTGAAGTTATCTTCTCCCTGACATCTTCAGTACATCATGATTTGCAGGGTTTGTGTTGGGACATGGAATGTCGGAGGGAAACTTCCATCTGAGGACCTTGACATTAAAGAGTGGTTAAATATGGAGGAACCTGCTGATATATATGTGCTTGGGTAATAACTATGAAAAGAGATATACTTGAGAAACCTCCTAATTACTTCTCTTAACTATACTTCTATATTATGACGCTCTCACATGTATCTATTTGAAGTTTTTAAGGCTGGTAAATTGATTTTGATGAATAAATAATTCCAATTATCTTAGTATTTTTTGTAGATCTTGAGGATAGGTTTAGGTGAATAAATGAAGATTTCATAAAACAATATTCTCCAAAAAGGAAATCAATTAGATAAAAGTAGACTCATCAAGGGTATCAGGTAAGATTTATAGAAAAAATGAACCTTTGTATGGGCAGAAATCTAATGCTGAATGTAGAAAATGAGTGCTTATGTAAATATTATGCCACTTTAATTGAGTCATGTTATTAAGCTTCAAATGAAGTATCCAATCATGTTGTAAATGTACTCTTCCTTCAAGATTCCTACTGAATTTTGTTTGTTGGGTTTGAGCAAGCTTGGTCTAGCGCAAAGTAGTGGTCAGCA